CCCTGCTATTTCTTATTCGTTCCCAGTTCGTGTTATAACCCTCGTCATTACTATACCAACTACACATATCCGCTACTTTTTAACTGTCACTGGAGGTGTTCAAGCGTAGTTTAACGGGCGATGCACAGGTACGGAGGCGATGCTTTTCGAAACACATCTGACACACCGTCTCACCACGCGATAAACGTTTGGGTCGGACCGCAGCAGTGGCCCGTCTCGTTTACCACAGAGCTGGACAATGCCCGCATCTCTTTGTAGCTAACGGAGAGCCAACGACAGGCAGGCCGAGACCCGCGGACTGCTGGCCCATGCGCAAGGTGTCCACTTCTAGGGTGGTGGGCAGCCGTAAGTATGACATACGTGAAGACACAAGCACAGCGCGACCACCACCACGCCTGCTAACCTGCCTTCACGAGCTTCGCTGACTTGACTCCTAATTTTGAGCACAAGGCACTTGAAGCGGCGAAAATACGAGTGCACGTTCACTTTGCGTTCACTTCATTTGATTATGTTCGCCTCTGTGTATTACTTTTACCATTTGTTTCCAGTGACTTTTTAGAATGCCGTTCATTTGCTCTCCGAGATTACGTTCCGATTTTGTTCCAGCTTGCGTGCGAAGGAATTCGGTTGGTGACCACAATGGTTCATTGATGGTTTCCCGACAATACAATCAAGATCGCAAGAGAAAGGATGTGTTCTAAGTCTGTTTGATGACACAGTATAAACATTCATTCACCTTTGCATTAAAATCTATTGTGTTTTTTATCTCAAAACCACGATTCAATTATAGGAAGACGTCGTTCTTAGCAGCTCAATGTCGTAGCCAAAAGCCCCCCCCCCCCCTACCGAGCTTCCTTGCGCTACAAGAAACCAGTATCAAAACTAATTACGTATACCTTAAAGGACCTGCCAACATTGTCATCGACCTTACGTAACACACCCCCGAAGGTTCTGGCCACGTCGACAGCTCTTTGCTCGATATCGTGAAGTTATACACATTCTGCTGTGCGAGTAATGTACGCAGATATAGTGATAAGCATGCACTCTATGAGCAGTGAAGTATTGCCTGCTGGCCGTATCCCGCTACATTAAACCGCATGTGCTTTCATTTTTGCCTTAGCACGTTGCAGGCTTTAGCTTCCCACACTAACCCGCACGGTTACTTATGGCATGCGCACTTTTGTACTTGTTCTTCGCAACACTCACTAAATGACACTGCAAGTGTCCTTGTGTATGGCGTTTATGAACAATGCCTTTTTTTGTTTGTTTTTTGGAGTGGAAGTGAAATTTTTCTGGTGTGTTTTGTTAACTTGAAAAGGTAAGTAACTCAGCTTAAAGCAAGTATAATAAACTTAAGAGGTTCAGTATGTGGTTGCGCGTAAAAGCAATAAGGTGATTTACTGCGCATCCTCATAAAGTTTAGTTAAGCTAAATATCATTCGAAATGTCGTATAGCAGTTCGAAACTTATACGAAACGAAATGTGTTACCAAACAAGGAGGGAAATTAGTCCTTGTTAAAACACTGGGTAATATTTAGTGCGATGTAAAACAAGGACGAGAAGGGACCAGTTGCTTGATGGGAGATAGCAAATCTTTTGCAGCGTCCACACACGCACACACACACACACACACACACACACACACACACACACACACACACACACACACACACACACCACACACACACACACACACACACACACACGCACACACACACACACACACACACGCACACACACACACACACGCACACACACGCACACACACGCACACGCACACACCAAGGCCACAGTGTTTGTCAGCAAGTGAATTAATGAATTGAAGAGTGGTATAGCCAGGTTTCCAGTAGCCCAAAGTAATTATCTTCATTCCCGTAGGCAACAGGGGCCCGCTTTATTTTCTTTCACATTATGGATAGTTGTGTGTGAGTGCCAAGCAGGTAGCTGTTAAATTTGCTCTCCAGAACAGGTAATTATATAAGTACTTTCGCAAGTGACAACACTAGAGGTACATTTGGCCGATTGCCATGATCAAAAGCGGCGCAGAAAAACAGTCCATTTCGAAGATCGCAAGGACGAAGAAGTGGCATCTTTTTTTTTTTTTTAGTTCCAAAGCACGCGCGTTACGTGACCCACCCGTGGGAAAAATGTGAAACAAGGGAGTAAAAATAGAACGACTTCACACGTAATCACGGCTCGAGCGGAATGCTCGCGATAAACAAACCTATCAGGTTTTGTAAAAACGGGGCGGCGATGCGTTTACACAGCTCACGTTGTTCACAACTGCGCACTTAGCGGGGGAGAGCAGGACGGCTGTATACACAGACCGGCTACGCATCATACAAAGCGGCCCTGACAGGTGCCTCATTGTCTGCTTATGTTTGCGTCGCAGCTTTAGTCGATAACAGCAGACCGGCTGTCGTGACCGTGTTCATTTCGCAAGGGGGCCTCACACGGGAGCATTTTTAGTCCGCTGAGAGAAACGCCACTGGCGATTTCTTTCGCGTGCATCTCGCCGGCGCTCGAGAAAGAAAAAGGCCATCTTATCGCGATCAGCTTATCACGAGATACGCCTTGCCTTACTCTATTCGTTTTTAAGCGGTGATTAAGCACACCTTATCTAGGTCAGGTATTCACAATAGAGGAACCGTCGGATCGTGAAGGTTAAGCATACAAAAAAAAGTATCAATGTGGTCCGGCACCTATTTGACAAAACACATCCAAGTGATGAACGGCAGCTCACGCAATATATGCAAGATAACTATATCTAATACCATCGTCTTACAGGTGCTGAGCTGTATGGATTGAGCCTTAAGAACAACAAACGTGCAAACGAGTAACTAAAGAACTTCAACAGCCAAGAAACAGGCAGACATAGTTAACATGCATGGTTAGGATACGCTATAGGCAAACAACTATATACTGCGGTTGTTTACGAACATTTGATGTTAAATGAGCTTGGCCAGAATAAGTCAGGCGCACTAATTATTGGTGGTGTGTTATAAAAGCAGAACAGATACCAAAAGAGGTGAGGGGGCCTTTAACAAGTCTACATAAGCAGACTTAGTAAAATGCGAAACCTAATTCTCGGGCTTATGAGAAGAGCAGTTCCAACGTAACTAAAGATGCCTGAAAGAGGTCGCTGTCCCCAGTAAATCTAGACTTAAGCCAAACTGTGATGAAGTTAAAACTTTCCATGTGACGTCTGTGTTGACAATGAACTCACACAAAATTTTGTACAAACAAGTTCTTCTTATCAAAGGATTCGTGAACCGTAATAGGGAGAGAGAAACAGAGAGATTAAGAACAGAAAGGGTAAAGGGGCCACAGCGTGGTCTCCCACCAAAATGTCGCTTTTCAGCAAAAAAAAATAAATAGAAGTAGACGGTCTATCATGCATGGACGAAAATAGAATGTCAAAGAACATTTCATTCTAAAGGGAGCCCTAGACGTCGTCGGACATATACCCCTCCCACCAACAGCGACCGCCATTTGGCCATGACGTGTGTGACGTCACGAGTTCCATGGAGCGGAGCTGTCGTCTTCCAGCTAAGTTTCAGCCGCGACAAATCGTTTATAGCTTCCAACACCGAGCTAAGGAAAGGTGTGATAGCTCCACTGTACGCGAAACTGACCACGAAACAAAATCGTTGACCGGAATTCGGACGCTCGCAAGCGAGGGACTTGTTACGTGACGGTCCTTGCGAGTGTGCCAGTATTGTCCGACTCTCTGGCCGCTCGCTTTATAAAAATGCTCGTTATACATATATATTGAGTGCTTCACCAAATGCGCTGAAATTTCGCCAGATTGTTTGTAAACATTCAAGGATTAACCCACATAACACTGATTATTCAGGGAGTGATCATTCGGTATTATGGCCCTTTTAACCACATCACACCCGGCTATCTGCTTTACACGGTGGAAGGGAGGAGGGGACCATGATGGCGAACGTGTTAGGCCTATGGAAGCGGCCGGCCTCAAACGTCAACTCGTTCCGGCTGAAACGTTTAGCAATTTGGTCCCCAGAATCGCACACAGTCTTTGCAGTTTATAAAAACTGTGCGTCAGTGGCAGGCTAACCTGGCATTCCTCGTCAATCTCGGTGCAGGTCCAAATAAGTGAAGCTGCAATGAAATCATTCACGTCGCACTAACGTCATCTGTGCGTTTAGAAACTCGAGTTCAGAGAACTCTTTCCCCCTAGTCAACTCTTTTACAAAGAAAGGCAGGGATAAATATTTGGGGACGTATGCCATGTCTGTTACTGTTTTAGTGCTGCTAAATATTATTATCGTTATCAAACGAGTGCATCAATGACCACATTGCAACTGTGCCCCTGGCAATAATGTCGGTCCTTTTCCACCTTTCTACAACGAACCTTCCTTCGTTATAAAGATACCTCTCTGCGTGCTTTTAAAACTGATAGCATTTGATGGAGTATTTTTGGGTAGATATTCTTGGGTGCACAAATATCTATCAATGTGTACATCTTTGTCTGCTACATCTAACCATCCGCCTTAACATCTCAAAGGCGGAACTACGATGAAAACTTTTCTCGTGAGGGAAGAGCTTGGTGTTTCCGGAAAACCAAGAAAAGTGCCCAAGCACTCGGGCTATTAGTCGGACTAACTGAATTTAATATATGAAAGAATCAGCCGAAAGGAAGAATACAAATATTTTACTAATAAAAAGGGTGAAATATATTTTTGTTGAATTATTAGTAGAACCTCACCCGCAGCTTTTGGTTGTCGTTGTCGTCGTCTGCATGTCGATGGCTGCCCGCCTGCAAGATCGGGTCGACGAATTTCCGTCACTCTTTCGAACCACGAGGAAATATTTCGGCTCGCCAAACGAAAATTAACGTGAAGTTGTCGGCTGAGCAGTTTTTTTTTCTTTAGGTCATGCCATTCTTGTTAAGCAAGTGTCATCCTGCTACAAATGTAGATTGAGCGCGAGAACTCGTGTTTTAATGAATTGTGTAATTCGATTTCACTTCGCAGCGGACGGCAAGGAGACGAAGGAGGACCTGGTGGAGACACTGTACAAGGTCGACGGCGACAAGATGGTGCTCGAGCTGGAACCTACCCAGCACCAGCGGCTGTGAAACCTCGTGCGTGCCCCCGCTGCTACACAAGTATCGCCCGGAGCTGCGCCGAACGGCTAGCGTTTACGCCCGCACGTTTGTCCAGGTGGACCAACAACGGGTGTCACTTCGGATGGCGGTGTCCCTCAGATGACACAACGCAAGCCGTTCGCCCCACTTCGTACTGACGAGCTATTCATCCGAAAGAACCCTGGCAACCCCGCACATCATTGTGTGGCCTGCCAGGCCGGCAGTTTCTCTGCAGATCACCCCTTTGGACTGATGACGGCACGGGAAATGGAAGATGTACGCCGTGCAACTATTGCGCCACGTTTTCTGTTCTACGAGATTGGGCCGTCGTGAATGGTGGTCACGGAAACATCGCTAGGGCTTTTTTTTTCATTTTGTATTTCTAGAGAGTTAACGACGCGATGTGATCCGATAGTATACTAAGCCTACTCTAAACTAAAGAGCATGGAGGAAGAAATCAAGTAGGAGAGAGATTTACCTCGCGCGGCCAGCCTTGACCAGGGAAACTCCTCTGGCAGTCATTTTTCTCCTTGTTGTACCTCACAGTACCGTCCTAATACGTGAACACTGAGAGACAGCGCACTCGCCGTGGTATTGGTCGATAGTGCTTATTCGGTTGCACGGCCATTACTTAGTGCCTGCACGCGCGCTCGTCACTTAGTGATCACGTGTTAGGCCGATACCTTTTTGGCTTCAATCGTGCTGGACTGCAATCTTTTTTGTTTATTCTTTTCTCAGTGTCAGAGCTAGGAGCAGGTAGACGGAAACTTTTCCAAATTAAAAAAAAAATTAAACGGCATAAGCTGCTTTACTGAGAGTTCGACTGGTGCTTCTAAGTGCCGAGCATTGTTTTTCAAGGTGGTTTTGTCATGTCCACAATTGGGAAATAACTTCATGTTATCGGCCTATGGAGAGGTCACGTGGCACGAGTAATGCTACCAGAACTTCTATTTGACCATTAGTGAAACCAGGGGACGTCGCTCCACTAACATTACACGTGTGCATCGACGCGACTGACAGCAAGTCTACATTGCATAGAGATATGTTCTAAATATTGCCCCGCATGCCTCAAGTGCTTGGTCATTATTCATCGGGTTTATTACATGCTACTCGTTCCTATATATTCTTGAACATGGGATGTTTTGAAAGCAACCAAACGAAGTGAGAGTAATTATCCGCCAGAATGTACTGCAACGCATTGCTGACGTATGCGGACAGGGTTTTTCTCAACTACAGCGCTTGACAAATCACGCCTAGGTTTTATAAATACAAAGCGTCGGTAGCTATTTTTGGATGTAGCAGGTAGATCATTTCACGGAGTTTAGTTTATGTATGAGTGAACCTCGCGTGTTTATTTTGTTGGCGACGCGCCAGATGGGCACCTGTTTCATACACTTTTGTTGAAGAGTGAGTGGACTATAGCGTGTAATAGGGTGGTTTCTGCTTCTGAATGGAGAGACAAGTGTCCTGCAGAAGTATAGATAGATAGTTTTGTGGCCACTTGAACTTGACAGTAGTTAAGCAGAGTTCGGTGGTTATATGCCAAATAATGATGTTATTGCACGAAAGGAGTGTTAGACGAAACAGTCACGTACGACTTTACAAGCCTGACTGCTGTACGCAATGTAACTTCAGCAATATTATTAATAAGCAAAGTCCTGCTCAAAATTAAGATTTGCTCACAGACAATAAAGTAGTAAAATTTGTACATCGCCAACTAATGGTTACAACTCTTTCGCTTATTATTTATTCAAATAAACAAAAAAAGTAAAATTTTCTGAAAAACAATGCCGATTTAGTTTTGAGCCATTATTATGATGAAAATTTTGATAATGCGTTGATTTTCACATGCTGTGACTTGGTTAAAAATTAGTCTATGAAAATCTGGCAACATTATGTTAGCGTAAACAAATGGCAATAGGCATGTAGGCCTATAAGCCCGTCGGCATCTTGGGTCTCTGCTTCCTTTCACGAATCATGTTGGGCTGGCTTCTACATATGTGAGCTGAAGCAATTGTTGCCCGAAATACTAAGTAGGAAAGTTCGCTTCGTAAAGCGCAATAAAAAATGCTCACGTACTTGTACGTTCAAGGCATCTGAGTTTTCAAAGTTTTTATGCTCTTTTAGTGCTGCAATAGCTGTATCAATATATTATATCGTTGAATCTTATGTAAGTGTAAAAAAAGTATGCTCAAGTATAAACTGCTATCCCTCAATAATCTGCAATATCTACAGCATTGAATTAAGTCGCAAAATATTGGTATTTTCTTACTCCCGTGCCTTCCAGGCAAGAGTCTGTAGAAATTTCAATCAATAACGGTTACAATGCAGTGAAACCCGGAAAATATTGTATAAAATAACACAATATTAAAAAACTACAGAAAGGGAAGATAGAAGCTCGCGATGAAAAAAAAAAATCCTGTAAACAAGGGTGGCGTCAAACCGACGCTTCGACAAGGGCACTTGTCTTCCGCAAGGCTAAAACAGAATGCATAAATTACGGCTAATGCCTCATACGAGAAGAAAAAAATTAAATACTGCAAGCACTGGCTTTTTCGGTGTTGAGACAAACTTGACTCTTAAGTGAACGTCGGCCAAATTACTTTTCGTGAGTAGATGACAATGACGGTCGCCCAAATGTAACACACTTGAATTAGCACACGCAAACGTTGAGCGTGAAATCTCAGAAATTTTGCGAGTAAATGTGCCAATCTTTAAAGAAATGTAAACATCTCCGACTGAACTTTGTTTAGAACGTCCGAAGACTCTTGAAAATGAAGTGACATCAGCCAATGTTTCAATCAATCAGTTTATTATCATGTCATAAAAGGTAGTCCCGGCGTCGTCTCGGGTTCAGTTTGGTTCCTTCCTCAAAGATTGAGTTGACCAAATAGCTTACGCAGTATAGGCCTTAAGCCTTGACTGGTGTTACAATAGTGTCGAGATGTCAATTTCTTTCGGTGCGGTGCGAAACGTCAACTGTAATCATATCAAGGACATTAGTAGCCACACAAGCATTGATCATACCGCACATTAACAGATGTCATATACATCTTTCATTTGGACGACGCCAATTGTGTGAAACGTAGCAGTGCAAAGCTTCGAACGTATAGTGGCCAGCATGTTCCAAACTGAAATGTAGTTCCGCACGACGTTGTTCCTGAATACTTTTAACCGAGTGGGCGGCAACAAATACCAGCATGTAAACATCTGTGGTTCGTTCGAGAAAGCTTTTCGTAAGTGAAATAAACGCACTGTCGCTTAACGCCATGACTCTCAACGGGCTGTTGATGCGGACATTGCTATTTGATGGCACGCACGAACAACATTGTGTATGCGTGGCCGTTGTATTAAGTGTGGACATTTGTATTAAGAAGTATGTTTTTGTGCGTAACGTATCTGTGTTGTTTGTCGTCATCACGAAGGTTTACAGTGTCGTAAGGTAAGAACTTTAGAGTGAACTGAAACAGATTCAAACAGCGTAAAAGTTTACAAAATGGCGAGACATCCGTGGGTGAATTTCTGTGCGCGTCTGTCGCCGATTATTATAATTAGTCTTAAACGCGCTCCACTTGGTCTGATTGTACGCGTCGCGAATATTGTCTAGCCTGTCAATATATATGCGCAGGTCAAGCTGCTTTGAATATGTGATATGGTTCACTTTTCTGGATGACAAACCGGTGAACGAGCTGTCGCTGGTGACGCTCGTGTGTTTTTGTGTCAAAGTGTTGTTTCTGCCGCATCTTGTAGCCGCTACTGTTGCTGAAACCAATGCTTTGACAAGTCGCCCAATAAAACTGCATGTCATCTTATATGAAAGAAGTTGTCAGTGGTGTGATGTTTTCGGATTGCTCAGCATAAAAACCTCAGGTTATGGCGTACTTGCTACGTTCAAAGAATTCACAAGCAAATTTCAAACACGGGGAAAAATGAGAGTTACAGGAGTGTCTCATTCGAAGCATTGACTGAACGCATTGTTTTCTTCGAAAGGGAGGCCAACTTTCAGAAAAGTTTCATGATATGGTAACAAGTGAGCAAAATAGTAAGTAAGGCAGTTTGCTTCAACTTTGGCAACAAAAAAGTTCTTTTGGGATTATACCATAGGACTAACTGAATTAAGGACGCATGCCATGTCTGTTTCTGTTTTAGAGCTGCTAAATATTATCGTTTTGAGCGAGCGGCGCATTGTCCCGTTTCCATCTTCCGTACGCAAGGCACTCAAATTAATAAACCAAGCTTAAGCTCGCCCTTTCAGGAAGCCGGTGTTTAGTAAGAAAAACGTCTGTGCAGAAGGCAGTATGCATTTCAACCATAGTATATATCATCCTTTTACCGAGCGCGCTTGGTGCTATAGCATGCTTTTATAGCTCGAGCAGACGTGTTAACGATCATTCGACCCACATAAGTGATTCGCTGTTCCCATAAAGCAGAGTGTGGACGTCCTTGTTCTTCCATAGTGTCAGTAGGGCATACAGCCTTGACTTATGTATCAAAGGTTTTATTGCACCACCAAGGGTCGGGTTGTGTGAAATAGGGCCGTATCAAATAACTAGGTCGTGGCCGGTCAAAGAATAACACTGCCAAAAACAACGTGGTTGCATACAAACGCAGCGGTGTCAAAGGGACAGTTTGAGCCACTGAGGTCAAGCTTCGGGGCTTTTTGAGGCGGCCGAAACCAAAAGCGGTTTTTCGCAGATAAGACGATTGGGCGTCAGGAGCTATGGGGTAGCGTAATTTACGGCTCCAGAGCTCAGCGCCCCGACGTGGCTGCTGATAGAACGTGAACGTTGCCACCTTGGAACGTAACATTCATTGATTGTCCGAGTCACGACGAAGAACGCTTTATGCAAAGGCGTCACTTCTGTAGCTTTAGGCAAGCAAGCGCAAAAAAACCAAACTGAATGAAAGAAAGAAAAAAAAACACGAGATAGCATCATGGTTAATCATCCCATCGCAATAGAAGGACAAGAATAAAGTATTGAAGTTTCACAACAAACACGTTTCGTTAGGCGCTACATTACAAGAAATTGAACATTGCGGGAAAACGTGTTTCGCCCATTTACAAAAGGATCAATTATGGGCACAGTGCAGTGCCGTTTGCATTTTGTACTGAGCACGAAGACAAATTAAGCAGAGCCTCGAGGTCTACCTTCAACGTTCTGCCTTCGGGTACCACGTTGCTCAAGTGATTGCTAGACACTGTCACCCGTGTCCAACGTTATCGCAGTAGAGAATTACCGAGGCACAGTGCAGTTGTCACTTGTAATTGCGGATGCGAGTAACTGATGTGTCACCGGCAGGTTAAGTATGTGACCATGCTTTCCGAGAAGAAATCAGTGCGTTGGTACGCTGCGCCAGGTCCCAAGGCCGGCCGATCACAATTACATTCCGATCATGTTCATATTTTTGCGCTTTCTTTACGTGTGATATGAACGGCATGCTGCTCACGGCCTCGTTGGCATCTTATTCTTCTGTGAACGGTGTATACACGGTACGAAGAAAATATAATAGAGTGAAATAACAGGCCCGTGTGCTCAGATTTGGGTGCACGTTAAAGAACCCCAGGTGGTCGAAATTTCCGGAGCCCTCCACTACGGCGTCTCTCATAATCATATGGTGGGTTTGAGACGTTAAACCCCACATATCAATCGAATAACTGTGAGCAATATACACCAATCCAATTCGCAAGGCTCGGTGCATTTGCCGTTGGAGCTTGCATAATGGGCATGCGGCCAGCGAAATTGCAGAGTAGCCCCTCTTTCTTCTTGATGCCATGTACAGATGTCTCGTTAACGGTTCCATGTGACCATCCGGGCTATACGCACGTCTAGCCCGGGAAGGAAAGCGGTTGGGAAAATAAACGGTCGCTCATCGCGTCTGCAGCATGGTGCAATAACGCGAGATGAAACGATCAACGCGCGAGGATTCCTCGACTAACGGCAGTGCAGTTGGCGCTATCACAGCTTTATCGAAATAAAGACTTTCACAGCCGAGCTTTAGTTTTCTTCAGTATTGCATGCTCAAATTCAACTTCCATTTGTTGTAATTTGTTCGTCTGTCCGTCTTGGTGATACAGTGATTAGAAGCCAAGTTTGAGTCTGCAGCCGAGCAGGCTGCAGACCCAGAAGGCATGTTTCTATCCCGGCCGCGGCAGCGCCATCTGGATAAAGTGAAATATTAGAGGCCCGTAGACTGTGCGATGTGAGTGCATGGTAAAGAACACCAGGCGGACGAAATTTTTGAAGCGCTCCCCCAAGGATTAATATCAGCTTGTTCTGAATCCACAAGTATTAAGCCACATAAAGATTATGATAGAAATTTGGTGTCATGGCCCCTTTAAGCACCCCCACCCCCCCCCCTGAAGCTACATTCCCAAAATAAAGATGCTTGTTATCTCTCTGTCTTCCTCTCCTGCCGATACCCCCGTAAGAAGGTACGTACCTGCCCAAGAACCATTTATATCAATCAAATGTTATTAACTTTCTCCTCTTTTTTATTTTCTTTGTTACGCCTACTTGAACCATTGGCCTTCTTGAACCATTTTTTTTTTTGGCAAATGAGGTGATGAATACTGGACCCAAAAAGGGTGATGTCTACATCATTGCATTTCCTCGTGTGAATATTGATGCTGTTGAGGTGTGCAGCGTCCTTCTCGCAATGAATATATATATTCTGCAGGCATCACCCAGAAGCTTCCAGGGGCATTCTGCGGGCGCGAGAGGTACAGGAATATCTTGAGATGTGAGAGATTTCGAAAGTTACTTTACCATTTGAAGAGAGAACCACTTATGAAGGGCGAAATGGTGGTTTCATTTGCATGTGAAAAGTAAAAAAAGGCAATGATAAAAACGTGTAATTCATAAACAAATGCGGTAATGGTATAGAATTTTCGTAGAAAGAAAGAAGTTGTGTCCGCTAAATTGGAGAACGGCAACTGTCACAAATTATCATACCGCCTTCGACTGTCACTTAAGGGTGCTTACCGGCCAGCGAATTTTGTTTTAAAAATATCCGGCAATTTCGCGTAGCCGCGATATGATCGTGAGAGACTCCGTAGTGGAGGGTTCCGGAAATTTCGACAATCGCACCGCTATCACACAGTATGCGGACCTCTAACAATTTGTTTCCATCTAATTGGGACCGCCGTGGCCGGGATCAAACCCGCAACCTCCGTGTCAGCCTCAGAGCACCGTAACCACTGTTCCACCGTGGCGGACGAGAGCTCGTTTCCAACCAAAGGGACAGTTACAAAGAGAATGATTAAGAACAGAATGTTTCGAAGAGAAGTTGTGTTTCGCACTTTGTGAGCCTTGCGCTGTTCCAGCTGCTTTCTTTTTTCTTTATTAAATGTATTTAAGGAGAGGTTGGTGCCAATGCGTGGCGCCGGCTACTCCTCTTCTCTTGCACAAAAGTCAACATCGCACATTCAGTAGCAAACACAAGGCTATACATGTGTACATAGCACAACACTTACACAATGAGTTCACGTTTTTTTCCACAATGAGTGTCCACACCACACAGAAATGAGTCCACACTGCGTAGAACTGTGACCGCACCACACTGAGTGTTTCCCGTTGTGCAAACTGGCGATAGCAGAAGAGCTTCAGCAGCGGCGCCGTGGTAATCTGATGCGCTCTACTGGATCGGGTGTGCACGAGGCCTACATTTCAGATCCCTGTCGGGGTCACCCCGTTTTTTCTGAGAAGTAAAACGCACGCAGTGTCTCGTTCGCATCATCTCGGTACGCCGACCTCTTTCGAGCGCGTATTTGAGGATCCTGCAAGAGTGCTGCTTGCGAGGTGGCGTATAACGTCTTCGAGCGGCGGCTCCAGTTTCCGCTATCGGTTAGACTGAACTAGGGGGTCGTCGCTCTCGGTGCGGAGCGATGACACGTGCTTGACAGCTGTTAGGGCGAACGTGACGAGATGCACGCCGAGAGCGCGCAAGAGTGCGAACACGCAAAGTCCCGAAGTCACTTGCTAAAGCATCGCCGAATTATATTGCACGTATACATATAGGACAGTCAGAAAAGAACCTTCTTAGAATCCATGATGTGGCCTTCCTGAGCCCCTTCTCCCCAACACACGCGTCTCCAGTTAAGTCAGGTGATAAGAAATGAAGAAAGTCACAGATGTGGTTCACTTGGCTCACAGGCACAGCGGGAGGCCTCTGACCCCCGTATTCACAAACGCCCCTCGACTCGACTTCTATCCTTCACTTGACAGCGTTGAGCACTGCGCCACTGCTCGGCTGAAAATGACGCCGCGCTACTCAAGAATAGCAGTAAACTATCACTGATATGCAGTGACTTGCCCTGCCTAAAGATGGCGCTCCCATCGGCTTTCTCAAGTGAAGGTGGAGCGTTGAGGGAAGGGGCGTTCTAAAATACAGAGGCGAGCGCTTGATTGATTGATTAGTGGTGTTTATTGGCGCAAGGGCCAGATATGGCCAAAGAGCGCCAGAACGATGTTAATGAATTGTGGGATGTGCAGTGTAGATAAAACAAATGTGACGTGGCTGTAAATGGGCCTAAAAAACAGTCGCTGTAGGTGTGTAAAAATATACATATGGTAAAATTATGGCAATGACAAATGATGTGAGCTATGGAGACATAAAATGATTTAAAAGTGATAAGTATGTCAAATAAAAACTTGGCATGGAGCACCAGTGCCTCGACAGAGCCCTTAAAACAAGAACATGGAGGCCTGGGCTCATTGAAATCTGCAATCACAGCAGCATCCTCTGAACAGAGGATGTGCTATGAACCTGTTGGGCTAAAAACATTCAATGTTGGACTAAACACATTCAGTACTACTTCC